TTTGCTGTTTCCATTCACACTGCAAAAAAAAAAAAAAATTATAAATAAAAATTGCTGATTACCATTTTATTTGCTGAAAAATCTTATTTAGCTTCCCTTTCAATATAATGGCTGGTTTACCATAACCAGCTCTGTCTATCCCGTGCTGGCAGATGTCCATTATGAGTTGTAAACAAAATGTGCATGACTGTCTGTCCTAACAAAGGATTAAAGAAGAACTCAGCGCATAATCATTATTAACCATTGCAGTGGGGTTACCATCGCACTGCAAGAGTAAAGTGCTTGTTTTCATCTAAGGACAAAAATCACAAAGCTATACTCACCTGAACCTCGCAGCCAGCTGGCTGTTAAACCTGTCCTTCCAGTCTGTCTTCTCCTCCACTCCAGTGATGGAATATTCCTTGGCATCCTCACATTCTGTACAGTGTATTTCTATTCAGTGATAACTCACGGGACTCCAGACCACCGGAACGGAGGGGGAGAAAGGCTTCAGAGACCGTACTAGCAGCCGGCCGCCTGCGAGCACTTACTGTAACCCTTGCAGTGCAGGGGTAGTCCCAACTGCAAGGGTTAAGAATATGTACGCCCAGAGTTCTTCTTTAAAGATCCTAAGGCTTGGTATGTTGTATGTCAATGCTTTCAAATTAACTGTCCCTCAGCCTGTCTCTTATCTACCCTTGATATCTAATCACTGGCCCCTCAGCTTCCTGATTGACCACCTGATTGGCCGGGAAGCCAGCTCCATGCTCCCTGGTGACAAGGGAGCATGAAGCCAGCTTCCCGGTCAATCAGGAAGCCGGTCGGTGTGTAATGATCCACCGCCCGGCTTCCTGATACTGGAAGTTCCGGTATCGGGATAAGTATCTGGAGAGTAGGACGAGTACTCATATTGGTGCATCCCTAATGATAATATTTTATGTATGCTGTATGAATGGGAACACATAACAAACATATAGTAAAGTCCCTAAATGTAAAGACATTATTCCCTAAAGTAATCAGATGATTAAAGTGAAAGAGTGGAGTCCACATGAGGTAGGGACCAAAACACAAAGAATTCCCTATCTAGGGGGAAATACTGCCTCACATGTTCAGGAGGGCGCCATGATAGCACTGCAAGCTCCCAGTCTTCACACAGAAAGTCCTCCAGAAAGGAAGGTGCAGGGAAGATCTTTAAAAATCTATAAAAATAGCCAAGCCAATGAGATTAGACATAACATTGAGCATGTCAGATTCATCAATGACCCAGTTAAAAATAGATCCCACAGGAGTAAGCAGTGGAAGATCCTGATTATATGCAAGCAGATTGATTCATTATTCGTACTCAGACTGTCAGAACATCAGAAGTGGAGATAAGAGGTGCGGTAGGTCCAGCACAGATAGTGAAGTCAGAGAAGCTGGCGATGAGGTCAAACCTATATCAATAAGGCTCCCAGGATTTTGGTTACAGGCATTGGTTCCTTCAGAGGAAAAGAAAATGGAGTAGGGCACAGGTGGCCAGAGGTGACAAAGTCAATGAAGACAGGCAGTGGATCAGATAGGAGACCAGAGAATCCACATTGTTTTTCTAAATAAAAGTAGTAGCCTCACCATTCTTTTACTCCAGAAGAGCAGGAAAGAAGGTAGGGAATGTGATGATGTGATGCCAACACTGAGGTCTCACAGGCTATGTCCATTGCCTTAGGAAAAAAGGCTGAAAGGTTGTAAAGACTAAGCATGTGAAAGTTAAGGGTTAAAGTTAAGAGGCAATATAATTTATTCTTGAGTCACTCAGCTTATTAATGGGTGACAGCAATAGGGTCACACTCAAAAGAGGAGCCACTGTTCTGTGGCGGGATAGGAGGCTGTTGTCTACCATTCAGTACTTCAAAAAGTACTTCAAAAACTATCCTTGCAGTAGGGCTATCCCCTCACTGTAAGGGTTAAGTGCTTGTTTTTGTCTAGGGGTATTATGTACAGGACTTTTACTTGATCCTTACTCCCAAGGTTCCAAGGCTGGTGCCCAACGCCTTTTCCCCTTGCGCTCTTGACGGTCAGAAATGACTTCATCATTTCTAATGTATTATACTGTACATGACAAAGCCAAGGGACAATCCGACTGCTGGGGAAGTGGGGCTCAGGTAAGTAAAAGTCATTTACACAATACCCCTGAAAAAAAATTAGCAGTTAGGTTTTTTTTTTTATCCCCAGTGATGGGCTTTAAGCAGAACCCAGTAACTAAAGGGCATGCTTTAAAATGTGCTATCCATTAACAGACAGGTTAGAGTCAATTTTCATAAACTAGGACACCCAAGAACTGTGCCACAACTGTGGACTTGGACACAGAGCTCCTCCACTAAGAGGCACCGTACAAGGACTGGAGGACACCATGGCAGAGCTGAATGTCTAAAGGAGACATATTACATTTCCATCGTACCATGCAATGTGTTGTCAGAAACTGAGTATACCTTTGGAAGTATCTCTGCTCCAAATAATAAGAGTGCTCATGGCTAATAATCTCAGAATGCACAGGTTTGGGAGGCACAATAATGTAGAACGCAGTGTCTGGTGGTAACATACCAGAATGTCTTCATTATTCCTTGAGGTATAATTTCACAAGGAAATATCAGAGGATGGGTTACATTGAAGGCTCTACCACTGCTTTAAAAATTGGTTAGTGGTCTGCTACTAACTGACCAGTACACACAGGTGTGGAAATTGCCAAATGGAGGGCTTATAGTGCACATATCACTTACTTAAGGAGACACTGGAGACTGGCAACATCAAAGATTGTACTACTGCTCTAAAAATGGAGTGCGCTCTGCAGCTAACTGACCCAGTGGAAAACACCATAATGCTGGTCTCAGTGTCTGAAGGTCACATTTCAGCATATCTTCACCTCTCCATGGGCTTACTCAAAGAGTGAGTCTTTAGAGACTGTCTCACACCAGAGGCTGTGACAAGCTTTGGACTTGTAAAGCATTCTGCAGCTAACAAACACATTCATTACATGTCTAGGGAACACCAAAAGCAGAACCCAGTGCTTGAGGGTCACATTCCAGGCAGGCCCTACAATCTATGATCCAGTGGGCTCCTGTTACGGCCTTCCATTTGTATAGCTGCTGTTGAGAGACCAGCTATGACACTAGCACAAAAAATAAAACATGATGGTTAGGGGTGCAGGAGCATTTGTCTTCAACTTTTTTTTGTGCTCACCTCTTGTAGGATGCTGCATATGACTACCATGTCTAAAAATTGCTATATTACTGTATGCCTCAATGGATGGCAAAGTTATGTTTAAGGGCTTCATGCCCCCTTTTAAATAAAAGGAAAAATGTTCATCACAATAGGGGGTTACCCTTGCAGGGGTTATTCAGCATATCTCTTCCAAAACAAGCATTCAGCTACCTGGGTTTTCATTGCAGAACCCTCTACTCTGGCCCTCAACCTAACCCAGTTTGTATGCCGCTGCAGCATTGGCTCGCCAGCCTAGTCCCCCTTGTCTGACTTTAGGCTTAGATCTTTTGTGGACCTGCTGAGCTTAATTGGACACCCTTTTCTGCCTGGACAGGCTCAATATCTGAATTTTTTAAAAAGACAGGCTGCCTGCCTTTCATTAGAGATAGATAGATAGATAGATAGATAGATAGATAGATAGATAGATAGATAGAGGGTCATGTGAAAAAGAATGCCCCCCCCTCTTTGAATTCTATTGTTTTAAGTATCAGAACATAATGAAAATCATCTGGTCCTTAGCAGGTCCTAAAATTAGATAAATACAACCTCAGATGAACAACAACACATGTCAGATTCCTGGCTACCCTTCCAAACAAGACATACTTGCTCTGTCTTCTTCTAATTGTACAAAACTCTGCTGGTAACTGAACTTAGTACCATATTTTTTAATACATATCATTAAAAGACTAAGTTTACCTTCCTGACCAAGTTTAATCTTACACCCATATTCAAGGTGTAACATGAAATATGATCAAATCGCAGAACTCCCACCCATCCCGTCCCCCCACTTACCTGTAACTCAGGGTTCTTCTCCTCCAATGCTGCTGTTGTTTGAATTTGGTGCGGCTGTTCGTGGCCCTGCCAACACAGCTGCGTCATCCATTTACAGATCCCATCAAAGGATCTGTGAATGGAGAAACTACAAGTCCCACCAGCTACTGTAGAAGTGGAACTTGTAGTTCTCATTGGAATACAAGTGAGGTGATGCCACAGCACTTGTAGTCCACAGACACCTCTTCCTGTCCATGTTACTGAATGTTTGTACCTGAGTACAGACATGGACAGGAGGAAGAGTCTGCCGGAGCCAGAACACTGCACCCACAATCTACTGATCACGGTTGCAATGCTTTACTGGCTCCAATGCATAAAAATACTAAATGCACATTTTTATAAATTTATGAAAACGTGTGCATTTATTTATTTATTAATTTCCTTTAAACAGTGTAAGCCTCCATTAGGAAATTAATTTGATTTTTTTTTTAAATGATTCAAGGATTTTTTTTCTATATATGTATGTATTATTTTATGTAAATAGAAATTGACATTCCCCTAGGTATAGGTTTTATATAAGCATCACCAACATTCAATTCTTAAATAGTGAGCAACAAATGAAAAGAAAAGAATCAGTTTCAGGCATTTCTGGTTTATAAAGACTTCACACAGTGCTTCCTGTGTAAAACCAAACAAGGATGTGTATTCTGTTAGAAGCAGCTAGCTAGTTCTTACAGTAGCATATCTTCTAGAGCTACAATGTTATAAAAAGATTGTGTGTGTTTTCAGCAAATTGTTACTAGATTTTCTTTTCTTGCACATTTTTAAAAATTTGTATAAACGTTCTCGAAACTTTTTTTTCAAGCAATCCACATTGTGACACAGTGACACCTCCTCCTGTTCAGGAACACAACCCTGATCTGTGTGTATACAGGTTGCTATGCAGCCATGTCTCCTGGAAACATTTGTGCTCTGGTAGTGCTGCTAGGGCTGTACTCATTAGCTGAAGGATCCAGACAATATTCATTTTCCAACTCAATTAAACTTGTATTCCAGTCCCTTGAGGATGAGCAACAGCAGCCTGAGCAACTACAGCGATCACCCATCTGCATCCAGTGTCCCAGGAGCCAAGGCAGCCTATGGAAGCAGACATCTTGATGGTAATACAAAAGCCGCCTTTCGTTCGGCTTCTCCAGCTGTCTCACTAACAGGAGGAGAACCAGAGGTAAACCTTAACAGAATATGATGTTCATTAAACACATAATTGTATTTATTTATTTATTTTTATGTGTAGCTCAGAAGTTGTTAAAATATTGATAAAAAAAGTTACTTCTTTCTTGATAAAATTGCTAATCCATCAGCTTGTCCAAACTTATGTCCACAATTTGTTTGTGTATCAACGCTGGTACGTGTGCCGTGAAAGTATTATTTCCTTTTCTCTGAGAAAAAGGGAAACATCTTGAATCATCATTTTCCAAAGTGTTATATTTAGCTCCTGTCTATTGGGACACCTTACAGTCCATATATTTGGTTGTCTGCAATCGTTAACATTTGGTAAAAGTAAAGCTTTTAATTTTTAGAAATGTCAACCCCATTTAGTGAATCATGGGGGGGCGGGTGAAATATGTATTGACACATTTTACATTTCAAATGAAACATTTAAAGCAGAACTCTGGGGGGGAATACCTAACCCTTGCAGTAGGGTTATTGCTGCACTACAAGGGCAAAGTGCTCGTTTTTGCCTAGGTTCAAAAATAACAAAGTTATACAAACCTGAACCTTGGATCTGGCCAGCTGTGACAGGTCTCCCTCTAGCCTGTCTCCTACACTGCAGCAATGGTATGTCTCTTGCCATCCTCACGTCCTATACACTGTGTATAGAACGTGATGACTCAGGGATTTTAGATCGCTACAGCGGAGAGGGGAGTGAGGCAGAAGGGATTGCTCTAAGAGCCAGCTGCTCTGAGGATCAGGTAAGTATCATCTTTTTTATTTTTAACCCTAGACAAAAATGAGCACTTAACACTTGCAGTGCGAGGGAAAGCCCCCACTGGAAGGGTTAAGATTTTTTTTCCCCTGGAGTTCTTCTTTAAGATCATTGTCTATTTGGGGGTCTTGGCAAAACAGTGTTGTAGTGCCTAATAAATACATGATCTTTAATTATTAGCACAGTATATAGAGTGGTACGTAAGCTTTGTGCTGCACTAGGTGAGAGGCTCCTCAGCCACCTCCTAGAGCAGCAGTGTCAGTTCTCCGGCCGCGCCGCTATATGGCGCTGCAGCACTGGCCAAGGGGGATCAAAGAGAGGGGAGCGGGCAAAAGTGAGGGGAGTTGAATGCCGGCTTGACCACCAGAGAGCCCACACTGGCCGCCAGAGAGCCCCATTGAGCCCACACTGGCCACCTAAGAGCCCACACAGTTACTAGTATTGGTGCATTCCTAAATGTTACCATTGGGGGGTCACCACAACCTGGCAAATGTTACCAAGGGGTCCCTGCCCTAGAAAGGTTGAGAACCCCTGCTCTAATGGAACACAGCAAACCACAGACTTGCCTCCAGAGTGAAATGCAGTCACATGATGATGTAATGACATGTCCTGCTTAGTCCTTCCCTACACATTTTATCTGTGTGACTTAGTTAGGGACATAACTGGAGACGTCGCCTCATACTATATACAAGCTGCTAACATTTAACCCTTTTTTTTGCCATTCTACTCCAGATAGCATACAGCTTATGTGTGTGTTTTTATATAAAATTACACTATATTTTTTTTTATTCAGGAACAAGAGCGCTTTAAACATAATAGAATACAGGTGGAACTTATGGACGAGTGTGTGGGAGTGGGAGCCAGAAGTGGTAAGAGGTATGAAATAATAAAAGACTGTACTTTAAAAAAAATCAAAGTACCATGTTACTTATAAAACTGTAAAGTCTGGTCCCTTTATTCATTTACATTTGAACTCCATGCTCAAAACTAGATACCCACAGAATACAAATATAGGAGCTCTTTTTCAAGCAAAATATTTGTATTTCTGTCCATCCAGTTCTAAGATTTATACAGTCCTGCCCATCAGGGCAGAAGAATTGATTTTTCTTTGCTACAATTAAATTGTATTTATAACCAAAAGTTTTTTTGTGTTGGATACAAAAGGGGAGAGTTAAAACCCCTGCCAGGTTATTTTTTGCTGTCTGTGTACCATTGGGAAGATTTCCTTTCACTTCGTGTCCCAGAGATGCAGCAGAAAGTTATAGGAAATCACTCAAAGTGAGTCAAATTCCATTCTTAGACAGTTGCTCCCAGGACAGGTGTTTTTTACTGGAAGATTTCCCATTACCTCTTGTTCTGTGGACAACTCTGACATTTTCCCTCTCTTACTTTCTCAATGGCAGTGGTCACCAGGACAAAGAAACTCTCTTGGTGAAGGGTCCAACCCTTCCCGGCTTTATCCAAAACTAAAAAAAAGGCTTTTGCCTAGACCAGCCTTTCTCAACCAGAGTGCCCTCTGGCTTCCTCAGGTGTGCCTCGAAACTTTGGCCAGCACCATGGAAAATTAATTCACTAATCCAGGAAAGGTGGGATCCATTCAAAACAGTTGTCCTCCATCAAGGCCTGCTTCACCTCTCACCTTTTGCCATGCTGACACAGCTGTGGCTCCTGTTATTTAAGGGGGGGGGCTCTAATGTGAAAAGGGGACTCCTGATTTAAAGGGAGGGTTTCTGATTTAAAGGAAAGACCCTGACGTGATAAGAGAACCTCATCTTTTTGTGTGTTTTTGCTTGGGGTCTCCACTGAAAATCCATACCAGACCCCTATTTGGGATAATGGTCTACTGTGGATTTTGGAGGGGCAACACATATTTTTACATTTATGTTTTTTACGTTTTATATTGGGTGCCTCAAAAATTTGCATATTTTTTTTGTGCCATGACTGGAAAAAGGTTGAGAAATGTTGACCTAGAGATACCCCAAGCTTGTGACTCACCAGTGAAAGGAGAAGCGGCAGACTGATGAGCTCAACTCTCTGTCATACTGTCCTCTCCTATTGACATGCTCCTTATTAGCACAGGAGCAATGGAGCCCATGCTGCTTCTCCCTCTCACTATACTGCTATACAGTGAACTGCAAGCTAATTTATACTGCTTGCATTTACAACAAATATATTCATGATATCATGAATACAGAGCAGCATTATTTGTGTCTTTTCTACCTGCCAGGGGTTTAGCTTTAATTGGGATATGCATAGAGGTAAACTCTATTTGCCTGTGGAATTATACAGATATACAATAGATATAAACAATGGAGAAATCTGTGAGAGCAAAGAAGTATGAGAAGGAATACATTTACAAACAGGGTTTGAATTGGTCAGAGGCAGGTTTTATTCTACTACTGTGAAGCAACTGAGGGAGACATTTATGAATGCCGTTTTATAATTATAATAAGTCTCTCATACTTTGTCTCATTACTCCTGTTTGGGCTTTGCAGTGTGACAGAATTGATATATGTCCCCCATAAAGGCTCAGAAAGTGCAATTAAAACTATGGAATGATTAGCATTGGACAAACCTTGCCTGGAATTCTGCTTCCATGCTGCACTTGAACAAATTTCTGTCTCGTTTTTGTAGTCTAGGCCAATACTCAAAATCATTAGATTCCCTCATTGACTTTAAACAGCGTGGATGGAAGAATCTCCCCTGCCAGCTCTTGTATTATGTCAGCCAATGTCCATGACTGTCTGAATACACAAACAGTGACTGCATTTACAGTTGCTGTACAGCCAACAGTTTTCCACCCTGCTTCTTCCATTTTTCCATCAACTTTTGTGCGGCTGGGTGGTGCCGACATGGATTGTATTTTGGCTGATGTAGCTGGAATTGGCCAGAATTTGAGCTGAGTATAGCAGACATCAGGATTGGTCCTTAGAGCAGCAGAAGGTTGTTTGTAGGCACTGCTGGCTATTGTATTCACACATTCAGCACCTGTTGCTGTCTGAATACCCAAACAGTGTCTGAATACCCAAACAGTGTCTGAATACCCAAACAGTGTCTGAATACCCAAACAGTGCCTGAATACCCGAACAGTGACTGAATACCCGAACAGTGACTGAATAACCAAACAGTGACTGAATACCCGAACAGTGACTGAATAACCAAACAGTGACTGCATTTGATTAAATGCAGTTGCTGTTCAGCCAACAGGTCTCCACCCAGCTCCTTCAATATTTTTTAGTGGAGCTGGGAGATCCCGATCACACATTTATCTATTTTGTTGGTGAAGTAATAGAATTACTGCTGAAAGTTATAGATTTTTTACCGATAGAAACACATTAGCACCATTATACTTTCCTTGAATGAGATAGGGTGTATACCACATGGAGTATGTTATGATAATTGCTATAGTAAAAATGTCCGCACCTCTAACATGACCCATTCCAGTAGTGACAGTAGTGACAGAACACTCCACTATTGATTTTATCTCTGCCTTTAGAATCATTGTAATAGGTTTGCTTAAAATACACCTCATAGGAGAAATATGGGAGCTGCCATTTTCAAACCAACATCTGAAAATACTAGCCTGTTTGGCCGGTTCGGGAAGCAGGCTCCATACTGTTTGGCCGTCTCGATGCTGATTGGCCGGGGAGCCGAGAGGCTTACCCGCCTCTCGGTTACCTGATTGGCCAGTAAACCGGCTCCGAGCTATTTGGCCGGCTCGATGCTGATTGGCTGGGCTTCCAGGCCAATCAACATTGAGCTGGCCAAACAGCATGGAGTAAGCTTCCCGGCCAATAACAGTGTCTGAATACCCAAACAGTGTCTGAATACCCAAACAGTGTCTGAATACCCAAACAGTGTCTGAATACCCAAACAGTGCCTGAATACCCGAACAGTGACTGAATACCCGAACAGTGACTGAATAACCAAACAGTGACTGAATACCCGAACAGTGACTGAATAACCAAACAGTGACTGCATTTGATTAAATGCAGTTGCTGTTCAGCCAACAGGTCTCCACCCAGCTCCTTCAATATTTTTTAGTGGAGCTGGGAGATCCCGATCACACATTTATCTATTTTGTTGGTGAAGTAATAGAATTACTGCTGAAAGTTATAGATTTTTTACCGATAGAAACACATTAGCACCATTATACTTTCCTTGAATGAGATAGGGTGTATACCACATGGAGTATGTTATGATAATTGCTATAGTAAAAATGTCCGCACCTCTAACATGACCCATTCCAGTAGTGACAGTAGTGACAGAACACTCCACTATTGATTTTATCTCTGCCTTTAGAATCATTGTAATAGGTTTGCTTAAAATACACCTCATAGGAGAAATATGGGAGCTGCCATTTTCAAACCAACATCTGAAAATACTAGCCTGTTTGGCCGGTTCGGGAAGCAGGCTCCATACTGTTTGGCCGTCTCGATGCTGATTGGCCGGGGAGCCGAGAGGCTTACCCGCCTCTCGGTTACCTGATTGGCCAGTAAACCGGCTCCGAGCTATTTGGCCGGCTCGATGCTGATTGGCTGGGCTTCCAGGCCAATCAACATTGAGCTGGCCAAACAGCATGGAGTAAGCTTCCCGGCCAATTAGGAAGCCAGGTGGTGAGTGGTTAACCACGACCCAGCTTCCTGATTGGCCGGGAAGATGGCTCCATGTTCCCTCGTGGCACTTCTGGTCAGAGGAAATCTTCGTCTGACCGGAAGTTCTGGTTTTGGGGGGTAAGTATCAGAGCATTTGGACAAGTACGAGTACTCACCCAAATACTCGGTATCTGCACTGATATGCATCCCTAAGAATTAACTTTCAAACACACTGAGGGGAATTTATCAAAACTGGAGCAGACAAAATCTGGAGCAGCTGTGGTTGACAACCATTCAGCTTCTCTCTTTCATTTTTTAATCCTAAATGAGCTAACTGTGGAAAGAAGCTGATTGGTTGCCATGGGCATTTTGTAGGCTGCCATTTCTGACTTGCTCTTATGAGGGAGCTAGTTCCCTGGCTGTCATGCTGATGGTTGGGCTTCAGTGCTTTCTGGGTCACAGAGATAAGGTGTTCTGACCCTTCTAAAACTTATTTACAGCATGCTTGTTTCGAAGTCTTAAAAGCAACATTTTTAGAAATGGCAGCCCCTATAATTTTCTCATGACTTGTGTACTTTAAACAAATTGCAAGCTTTTCTTTTCAGGGTATGATCACAATCTTCCAATCCTATCATGTAAACCAAAAATATAAAATCTTATATATGATAACATTTTAATTGTATATTTTGTTTTGTTACTAGAAACAAGAAAAGAGGAGATGTAAAAAAGGTAAGTCATACACAAATATTGTGGTAGTAAATCTTTTATCAGGTAGAACAGAGGTTCTTTACCTTTTTGTTAGTTACAGTCCTCCATGGAATACCCAATATGTTATCATATTTATTAAAATCTAAATAATAAATTACTACTACAACTGATATAAAATCATAGAAATTGTATTATTTTTCCTAAAATGAAATTAAAAATTTATTATAACTGAAAAAAAGATGAGAATTTTATCACATTTCATAAAATAGAAAAAATTAATATTTCAAGCAGAACCCCGGGCAAAATTGTTATTAACCCTTGCAGTTGGGCTACCCCACACTGCTAGGGTTAAGTGCTAGGGACCAAAATAAAAAAGTTATAATCCCCCCGATCCTCCAAGCTAACTTGCTCTTAGGCCCCATTCACACCTAGGCGTATTGTAATATGCGCGTCTGTCGCGCGACCTTCACGCGTTTTTTTTACCGCGTCCCTGGAGCCTCTCTCCCCCCTCCGCTGCAGTGCTCATTACATCCAATATGCATTGTATAGGTCATGAGGACTCTGAGGGACATACCATTGCTGCAGCATAGGAGTAGGGAGGCTGGGGCTACACTGTCACAGACAGCTGGCTCTGAGGTTTGGGTGAGTATAACTTATTATTGTTGTTTTAGTCCCTAGACAAAAATGAGCACTTAATCCTTGCAGTGCAGGGTAGCCCCACTGCAGGGGTTAATAATTTTGCCTGCAGTTGTTCTGTAAGATTATAAATTAAAGAAAATCAAAATAATTTGATCATGTTTATTAAAATAATAATAAAAAAAATATTAGTATCTTAAATACAAATGGTAAATCGCTAATGCACGCTAATGACAAACATTTGTTATGCTGTTTTTGTTCAATCAAAATATGGAATTGAGGTACAGTGTCTGACAATGTGGTTTGCATGTCATCTGACACATTGAGTTGACTTCTACATGCTTACTCCAGTTTAAAAATGCAGAGAAACCAGTTTTATTACTTCTACAATTTGGTCACATACGATCAAGAGGTATGGATACCCCTGGATAAGAATTCCAGGAGTACGCTGAAGAATTAAATCCCCAACATAGTCACTAAGTAAGCCCTGAAACACATCTGCTGAGGGTTTGTTGGCATTTCAAAACCATCCCAATTGTTCCTTAATGCTAGGTATCCCGCCTAGATATCTGTACAGTATATGGCAACATTTAGAAACATAAGGCAATGTACAGGCAAGTTTATTAATATTAATCTAGCTGAGGTTGGTGCAGTGTAACATTAAAGAGACCCTGTCACCAACTTAAACAATTGCAAGTGAAAGCACAGAAAATACTTAGTATTTTAAATGCTTACTTCTGTTTTTCCTTTCTGTAAATCATTTTGTATTCAGTTCAATGTGCCTTTAAACTTGCTAGAAAATTTGACTAGTCAATTTCTTAGCACAGCCCCCTCCCTTCCTGTACTTCTGCTCCTCTTCTGAGATTGTCTAATTATTGTCTGTGCTGGCAAAGGTCCTTCACCCTTCCACTCACCTCCCTACATAACTTTTTATGTAGCAGCCAGGGGAGGAGGGAAGGGGAATGCTAATGATTGTCACTTGAGTGACAGCCCAATTTGCTGTTGCTGCTGATGCCTGCTACTGCTAATGCACAGCAGTAGTTACTGGGCTTTTAGAAGTCTATACACGGCATGCATTTACAGGTAAAAAACATGCCTAAAATACACAATATTGTCAAAAGTATTGGGACACCCCTATTAATCATTGGATCCAGGTGTTCCAATCACCTCCATGGCCACAGGTGTATGACATCAAGCACCTAGGCATGCAGACTGCTTCTACAAACATTTGTGAAGGAATGGGTCGCTCTCAGGAGCTGGGTTAATTCAATCGTTGTACCGAGATAGGTTGCCACCTGTGCAATTAGTCCATCCGTGAAATTTCCTTGCTACTAAATATTCCACGGTTAACTGTTGTGGTATTATAACAAAGTGGAAGCAACTGGGAACAACAGCAACTCAGCCACGAAGTGGTAGGCCACCTAAAATGACAGAGCGGGGTCAGCGCATGCTCCAACATGACTGCGCACCAGTGTACAAAGCAAGGTCCATAAGGACATGGATGAGTGCTTAGTCTTTAAGTTTCTACTTATAAATTGCTGTTCCCAAGGTACTAATAAAAGCTACATAAATGACAGGAGAAATATATCACCCACGTGCTTTGCTGTTAACAGGTATTTGAATTAGACATCTCGAGGATATAAGAGTAATCTAGTTGACCTTTTCAAACACACATGGAAAATACCTGAATACATAAACAGGATGTGGTGAGAGGTAGGGGCTAACACGTCCACGTAGAGATGCTTTAAAGAACCTTTAGAGTGGTCGATGTGCTACTGTGTCCTTCAGATATGGGCACATATCTGATCTTTTAAATATTTAACATAGTAAAAGGAATGTACAAATGTACATTTGAGACTCTTTAAACACATGCTGTTCTTTCTCTTTCTAAGAACACTAATCAGTTTTGATCAAACCTGATGATTTAAAAACCTATAAAGACAACAAAACATTCTATCCTATTCTGTATACTTTCAGTGCTCACAACTCATTGTAAATAACCAGCAAAACATTGTGTTTAACTGCACATCAGTGGTGTCTGGATAGTACATAAACTAGCCTACCTAGATTGGCAATGATGTGTTAGTGCCAAGCTGAGTTACCAACATTGTATGCAATACCTGCCAGCAGAAGAGTGATGACTTACATGTTAACTAGTGAAAACCATGTATTTCTACTAGCGCTAAACAAGTTGGAAGTCAGGTTTTCTGATGTTTTTGTAGAAGTGTACTACAACAATTCAGATATTAATGTTTAGAAATGTAATGTTTATATGGTAGATTTTCTGTTGTGCTGGTATGACACTGTGTTTGTCAGTGAAATGCAATGTCGCATCTACTGGGCTAATCTGCATCAGACTCCCTGAAAATCCATTTCATCATGGATTACAGTTTTTGGACATAATAATTGCGATTATATACCATATGAATAATATGTGCTGAATTGTATTTTTTTATATTTTAATTCTGTAGAGTCTGTCTATTGAGACAGGCTAGACATCCCATGTCCTTTCAGAAAGCCATACTCACTTTTATAATAAGAAATTATGATTTTAAAGACATATTTAAATGGTGTATAAAATTACTTGATTTTAATTTTTTCGTGCTGTGTGGTTACTAATCACACCTGGGCTGTCCCAAAAAGTCCTACTAAAATAATACTCTCCCTGTCTAAAAAAGAAGTGCTCTTTTATACATGGGTTCTATTTAGAATAATGCCATCATGGAGAAAAGATCTTGGTTGGCATTGTATTTCTTATGTTGATGGCAGTGCCAGGGCTACAAGTTTTTGCTTTGTTAGTGCAAGGTTGATCGGCTTTTACTGGCTAGCCACAGTGATGTCACTAATAAAGTAGTTGAAGTCTGACCCAGACTGCCTTGCTTATAGGGGCACCATGTAACAGAAAGGACAAGAGAAGCAAAGTAATATACTAAGAGAAAAATTGAATGTTGTGTTACTATTTGTATATTGATGTTGGTCTCTAACAAGACCTTTGATTTTGTTTTGGTCTTGTTTGAAATAAACAAGACAGTAACTAAGAAATGTAGCATGGCTATGGTGTTTGTTTTGGTTGTATTATCCATATTATCTTTATTGGTAAATACATTCATAGAAAGAAGTCATTGACATGGCATATTTCAAAATGCTTTATCATCAGCAAATACATTTACAATGCAGATGTGATACAGAACCTATACACAATCTTCCTCACATATATTGGCCTTTCTGTGAATTCAGCAGAAAAACTACATAAACTGTTTGTAAAATAACCGTTTGCATGTGTTTAATTCACTTAATGATTGATCTGTTGTTTACTTGACAGTGGGGATAGACAGTTGCTTATGTATTTACATTACAGTGAGCATGTACAAGTGAATACACAAGCATAAGATTACTTTTACCAGTCCTGCTGTAATTATAATATAAGCCTGATATGTACAAGGCACAAATAAAAATAGACCACTCACCACAATCAAAAGCTTAAAACCTAACTGAAACCATAGCAGT